CATTTCTAAATGTGATCTACGATAATTCCACAGCTTTTCCCAATGAATCTCGGGTAAATAAAACCCACTTATAAACGCTCAAATTCGTGCTTGCGACGGCAATTTCTTATGGATTTTGGGTCGAACTTTCCATCTAATTAGCTCCCCTGTTTACCGATGCCCTTTTCGCTTTGCCAAATAGTTCGACTAAACGATCCGCGCGTTAAAGTTTCGGAGTTTTCGAGTTATGCGCGAGTTAATCCTTTGCTGGAAACCGGATCGAGAGTTTTAATCTGATGGGATCCGAGAGTTACTAATTATCCTTTGGGGAGCGTTCGGGATTTGCCAGCGCTGCCGCATATAAAACAGCAGCAGCGAAACTTACCATCATTATCGCTAGTGTTGTCGTTCGTGTCCTTATTCGGGCTGGGTTCGCGCATCGGTTCCCTGGTGATGGCGCTTTGATGGAGAGGCGGGAGAAACGTTTGGCCGTAACGTCCGGCCGGCGAGAGAGCCATCGTAAGCGACACTGGAGGCCTGCAAATTTCAAATCGATTTTGCACATCAGCCATCCAGATACGTGATCAGCGACTTTACGGTTGATCAGGCAAAGTGTTTGATCCAAACGGCCAAATTACCGTTTGTCATACGTTAAAACATCGATTTGATCGCGCTCGAGTTGGCCGTTTGATGCTGTTCCTGCACACTAAATCGATCTTTTATGGTGGATAAATCATCACATTTTAAGTGGCAGAGTTGGAGAAAACCCTGTGGGACTCACCCGAAAACGCCAACAGCTACCGCAGCTTCTCTCAGCGCCCGCTCCTGCTCAGCGCTCATGTCCCGCAGCGTTTCCGGCCTGATGGTAGCTGTGTTGCGGGGTTGTCGCTCATTTTGCACAGCTAAAAGTATGACTGGTTTTAAAAGTTATCACCTGCCAAAAGCGGTCTTTCATTCAGCATTAATTGCGAAAGCGGTGACAAAATAATAATTGACGAACGACAAAGGATTGGGTTCAGTACGGCCCAATTGGCTTCGTTTGAGGTTGGCCTGCAGCCTTTTCGCCTTGATCATCATCATTTGCATGCGCTTTCGCCGCAGCTGAAAGACGAGCGTTCGCTTCTCACTTTGCTCGAATTGGCGGGTAGGAAATCGGAAGTTGAACACGCCCAGACTGGCATTTGGAAAAGTTGTATTTTTGCGAAGGTGAGGCATCAGAAAATACCGTAAAATGGGTTTTTTGTGCAAAAACCATGCAACTTGCAAAAGGTGAAATTTGCTTAAGTCAGAAAGTATCAAATTCTACTTTTATATAGATACATTTTTCCAAAGAAAGTATCAAACTTGCCATATGAAATCTTAC